ATAATAAATTTATTAAAAATAAAATAATAAAAACTTCATTGTTCACTATTGTAAGAAAAATTTAAAATTCGAAAAATTTAATTGTTATATTGGGACAAGAAGCTTTTAAAAACTCTTGCATTTTTGCCCGTATTCCATAGGAGCGGATGTACGGCTATTTATGGGCAAGATCATAAAAATTTACAAAGAATGCTTTTAAATAAGACGTAACATAACAATAACTTATAAAATGTATTTACATAAGTTTTATGTAATCATGCTTTATATATAAAATATATAATATGTATATTAAAAAATAAAACATTTTTATATATATTATTTAGATGTTTTACATGAGAAAAAATATCTATATTTTTTTATGTCATTTTATACTTTCTATCTACTTTTTGTTATCAACTTGAGGAAATACATAATATAATAAAAAATGAATCTACATTTCTAGCAAAAAGTTATTCATGACTTAAACTTTGTTTAAAACATTTAAAACAATTTAAAATATATTTTTTAAATTAAAAATTTAGATTGTGAACATATAATTGTGATATACATATAATTTGTATTACTACTGTACAAAATTTTGTTTCTTTGCAGGAAATTTTGGCCATTTACGTACACATCATGTACATATTATACAGTTTATTTAACATAGATATTACAAAATTAACATTACTGAATTTCCCGTATTCTCGGCCTTTTGCTTGTCCTCGTTTTTTCTGCTATTTGCAACGGCGACGATATTAAGCCAATTAAAGTGCAATCAGCCTCCAGAAGAGTTACATCCGTGACAGCACCTAAGAATTTGGAGGAAAGTTCCAAATCTTTTACCCTCAATCGAACTTTAGATCCTCTCACATAGTATCTGAAATAAAGAAGAAAATAATAAGACGCACAGAAGTCGGCATTCGAAATACAGCGAGTATCGTTAAAATAAGATTCAGAAATATAAGTATAAAACGGCGTATATACGAGTCAAGCGCGATAATTAGTGCGCAACAAATAATAAAATCAAATTACTGTTGTAACTT